CTGGATCCTACCAACTGGCTGACAGGATCCACAGTACGCCTCCTCTGCTGGCACAGGGGTGAGGCAGGCCAGTTGTCATCAGAGTGAGACACTTCTTCAAGTAGACTGGACCCATGCCATGCAAGGCTTTAAAGGTGATTACCAACACCTTAAATTGCACCTGGAAGTAGACCCCCCCCCACCAATGCAGCTTGTGAAGCAGTGGTGTAACATGGGCCTCTCTAAGGGCTCTAAGAACTGCTCATGTTGCCACACTTTATGCCAGCTATAGTTTCCAAATGCTTTTCAAGGCGTTACAATAGTCCAGATGTGAGATGATTCGGTCTTGAGTGATTGAGCAAGGGACTCCTGATCCAAGAAAGGCCACAACTGGCACATAAAATGAAGTTGTGCAAAGGCTCTCCTAACTGCAACTGCTACCTACTTTTCGAGCAGGAGTTGTGAGTCCATAAGAATCCCCAAGTTGCGGACTGGCTTTGTCTGGGTTAGTGCCACTCTATCCAGGACTAAAGATGTTAAAGTCTCAGATCTTGAAGCTCCATGCATCCAAAGCCACTCAGTCTTGCCAAGTTCAGCCAAAGTCTGTTGTCCCCCTTCCAGGCCCCCACAGCTTCCAGGCACCATGAAAGGGCAGCCACAGCATCACTTGGGTCACTAGGGATGGAGATATGAGTAGCATCAGTGTACTGATGATACCTAAATCCATGGTGACGGATGATCTCACCTAGTGGCTTCATGTAGATGTAAAGAAGAGTGGAGAAAGTGCCAAGCCCTGGGCTGGATCTCTAACCCTCTATTAACACTGAATGGAAGCAGCCTTGGAGAAAGGAGCTGAACCAGCACAAGACTGTGCCATCTAGCACCAGCCCGTCCCCCCATAGCTGGCCCAAAAGGATACCCTAGTCAATGGTTTCGAAGGCCATTGAAAGGTCATCTCCCCTTTAGGGAGATTTCATGCAACATGCTAAAGCAACATGTGCTTTGTTTAGTTTGGATTAGTGTTGTGTGAAGCCAGTCACAGTTGTTTCACACAACTAGTCTCCAGAGCTAGTCTTATGTGAAATAGACCTTTTGTTTTCAAAAGATTCTGGGTCTAAACTGCAAATTTTTCTGCATTGTACCAAAGCCAGAAAAATTACCTCCCTGGAACATAACCTTCTGTAATCACATACTTTTCCATTTTAAGCATTTTTAAGCATTGTTAATGAAGTTAATGAAAAGGCAGTACCAGTTCTGGTCATTTTAGACAACCTGTAGAAAAAGTTGTGTACTTCTATATGCCTGCAAGTAAATCTGTCTGAAGGAAGTCAAAATAATGCTATTTGATGCAATAAAGAATCAAAACAGTCAAGGAAGTCTACGTGTGCTTTGTCTTGAATGAATCATGTGCAAAGATAATTTCTGTGTGCTTTATCAAATTAATTTCATAGAATTAATTTCAATTGTAAACTGCAGGTAGAATTATTTAATTCACACAAAAGATAAATGAATAAACGAATCTCTGGAATGTATGTGATGGAAAGAATAACTGGATATTATAGAAATAAACAAACAGGAGCAAACTGAGTGCAGTCTTACTGAAATAAATGTAGTGATACAATTTATTTGGAATATAACTTTCATTGTCTAGGTTGCACACATGTACATTCATTTAATTAATGGAAGAGAGGCTGATTGCATCCTGCTAAATCATCCTTAAGTAGCTGGGTTCGTCACTGAAACTAAAATGTGATTTACAAATTTAAGTGGCTAAATTCATGGAGCCTTGGAGCCTGAAACCAAACAAATGGTGGGTGGGCATGAGGCTGATACCTTGCACTCTTTCAGAGGAAGAAAAGTAAGTCCCTTCTTTTCCTCTTTCCTGTTGTTGCTATTACTCTCTAAAGTGATGTGCTTGGTAAGTTGTGATTTTAAATAAATGTGCTCCAGAAGCCAGAACATTTCTCAGAACTTTTATTACAATTCAGGCTTTACAGAACAAGCACTCTCCACTGAAAGCCAAAACAACCTCTCAAACCAAGGCAAAGAAGAATCTCTCCACACTCTGGCATTGATGTGTGGCTTATTCCCTTCCCAGGGATTCCATTCTTCTGTTATGCTAACGAACCCAGCCCCCTTTGCTTTCCGCTGTCCAAGGCAGACCCTTTGGTGGGTCCCCCTAACCCTGGATCAGAGAGACCTTTAGGACTGGTCACCAGGGCCAGCTACTTGGAGCACTGTAGAGGAGAGGAAAACCTGATGGGGAAAGGTAAATAGGATGCTTGCCTGTTTGGCCCAAGATCATTGTTAGGGCCTCCAAATGGCTTTGACCTGGAGTCTGTGGGGTCTGTAATCCTCCATTGCCTGTTCTCTCCCTTTTCCTTTTGTCATTGCTTTAAAAATAACAATGTGAGCCAACAAAGAGTGATGACAAGGACAACTAATAGCCATTTCCTTGTATCTGCCTCAGAATGCCCTAGCAATACTAACATTCCCTTTAAAACACATTGCTTGATCCTACCAGGATTTAAATATATTTTTCCTGCATAAAATGGTACAAAGACATTATAGTAAAAAGGGAAATTTCATAATTTGGGGGCTACAAAAGAGGAGATACAAATGTTGGGGGAGGTTAATAATTAGTATCAGATCCCACCTCCCCACCCCCGCTCATCCTACTTCTCTCTACCCATCTTTTAGCTATTGTATCTTGTATTTTTATATATTTATAGTATTTTATACAGTTTTATATTTTTAATATTGTAAGCTGCACAGTTACCCTATGGTAAGATGGGCAACCAATAAATTAAAACAAACAAACAAACAATCTTCACCATCTCTGGTGGCCAGAGGAATGCTTGGGAATGTGTGAATGTACAGTTTTACATACAATCACTGATATAATATATGGTGACATTCAAACATTAGTAATGCACTATAAGTACAGTGAGGGCTAAATAATATACTGAACTGTTAGTTAGAAAATCTTTTTCGAGAGCAGGACATCATAAGACTTTGGTGCATCTCAGAGATAAGACTAAACTGAACTAACTAGAAGAAGGGAGTGGAGAAAGGAGGAAAAATATTTTGCCCTCTCTCAAATAAGGGACTTAACTTATACAAGGCACTTCAGCAGAAGGATTCCAAGAAAGATTCCTGAATATCATGGTTAATCATCAGGAGTGGCTGACTTCCACAAGATCTTGGATTGTTTCCCAGTCAGAGATCCAAGCCAAAATGCCAGAATAAAACAAGTAGTTTATTTGAGCTGAAATCATTCTGTTGGTGTGGGTCTCTGAGTGTGATAGTAATCAATACCAGAACAAAATAATAAAATAATTACAGAAAGGATGGGGAAAGACAAGATATTTGAGGATCATCAGGGAGAGTGACATCTTACTTGCTTATGGAATCATGCAATCATAAACTTAGAAAGGGCTGGTTAAGCTGTTGAGTCCTCCCCACATACAAACACAGAGCTCACTAACAGAATCCAATTTAAAGTTAACATCACCAGCAAAGTGGGCCTACTAGCTCACAGTTAAATGCTTACATTCCACTGATCACAACATTAGAAAGTTTTTCCCCTTAACATTCATTAATTTTCCTAATACAGGTAATCTTCAATTTAGAACAGTTCATTTAGTGACTGAAGTTACAACAGCACTGAAAAAAGTGACATGACCGTTTGTTCACACTTTATATCTTTATGGTCACACGATCAAAATTCAGATACTTGTCATATTTATGACAGTTGCAGTGTCCTGCGGTCATGTGATCACCTTTTGCGATCTTCTGACAAGCAAAGTCAATGGGGAAGCCAGATTAATTTAACAATCATGTTACTAACGTAACAAAAGTGATTCACTTAACAACTTTGGTAAGAAAGATGGTAAAATAGGGCAAAGCTTACTTAACAACTGTCCTGCTTAGCAACAGACATTTTGGGCTCAACTGTAGTCATAAATTGAGAATTACTTGTATTTCAGGAAATCACAGAAAATCTAACACTTATACTAAGTTTCTGATAGAGCATTCTGTGGCATATTAAAGACTAACAGCCTTTCATTATTAAGGATTCTTGGTGTAACTAAACAGTTGCTATCCCAAAATAAGAATGGAAGAATATTTTGGGTGCTGACTGGGTCCTCACTTTCTAAAATTTAGGATTTTCCTAGGGATTGTACCAATATTTGATCAAGTTTGGTCTGTTCATCTGTTTCACAGCTTCTTGAAAAGGAAAAGAAGAAGAGGGATAGGTGCAGCATTTACTAATGTTACGGATCTGTGGTGGCTTTAGTAGAAAAACTATTTAAACAAATGACAATTAGATTGTTTAGGCCAACATTCTCTGACTAAGGAGCCCAACAGTAGTTTTTTGTACCATGTCCTAGTGACGGTCAAATAATTATAATGTGAAACAATAATTCTTTAAAATATAAGATGAGAGGAGAATCCATTGTTTACAAAAGTTAGTGTTCTAGAATTTGTTAGTCTTTAAAGGGCTAAAAATTCTAGATTTGCCGCAATGGACAAAATAAAGGCCTCTGTAGATCCTGAATATGTATGGCCTAAAGATTTTGGTTTTATTTTCATTTCCATTAAATGAAAATTAAATTAAATTGAGAAATTCCACTTAAAGGACTAAAATTCCCTGATTCTAATGTGGGCTATTAAACAACTAGTATTAAAAGTCAAATTATACAAACAAATGAAGAATTTTTTCCCTACACATTTCTATATGCATCTAAGGAATTAGGAAAGTCCATCTCAAGTGATGCCCTGTGACATGTCTCGAATGCACTTCTTCGACCAATCCTGTACACTATTCAGAAGAAAGTCCTATTCAAATATCTTCTGTACAGATTGATTAAAGCTGTGGTTCTCAACCTGTGGGTTGGGACCCCATTTGGGGTCAAACGACCATTTCACGGGGGTCGCCAAACAAGGCTGTCTGCCATTTTTTCCCCCTTTTCTTATGCCCCTGGCACCCGGTGATGTATAAGTGGTTGGGGGTCACCACAACATGGGGAACTGTATTATGGGGTCGCAGCATTAGAAAGGTTGAGAACCACTGGATTAAAGGATTTGTTTGTTTGTTTTAGAATGAAATTGTAGCAGGCTTGCACTGAACAAGTAAATTACCCATAGAATAAGCCTTCAGCAGCCTTTTTTTGAAATGCAATTAGCCTTATATCCATACCAGGAGCCCATAGTTTAATGAAAAAAGATTTAGTAATCCTGATACAAGTAGTCCTTGACTTACAATCATTTGTTTAGTGACCATTCAAAGTCACAGTACCACTGAAAAAAGCATTTTATGACTGTTCCTCGCATTTACAACCTTTGAAGTCATGTGATTGAAATTCATTTGCTTGACAACCTGCATGTATTTACCAGGATTGCAGTGTCCCCATTGGCTTCCGAAAGCAATGTCAATAGAGGAAGCTGGATTTGGTTAATGACCAAGTGATTCATTTAACAACCTCAGCGATTCGCTTAACAACCATGGCAAAAAAGTCACAAAATTGGGTGTTACTTAACAACTGCTTTGCTTAGCAACACAAACTGCATTCCCAACTGTGACCACAAGCGAAACCAGATACTGATAAACTGAAGTTTAAACAAGAGGAACACCAATGGATGGAGGTCACAAGGCATCTACTAGTCTGTGGTGCAACCTATTCCCTTTTTCTGAGAGAAGCTCCATTTCTGAAGTGTGGCATTAGGGAAACTTTGATCAATATGAGATGGAAGAGACTCAGTGCCTTTCCTTATGCAAAAATACAACACACCCGTGCTCTGCTCTTAAAGTACAAACACATATTGTGGCTCTGGGTCTCTTTTTTCTGCTTTGAGCAGCCTCCTCTTTCCAACCACTAGTTCCATTTTTGGCACACTCTTCTTTCTCCCAATTTGAAAAGGAAAGCAGAATGGAGCGCAGGGAGATGTCACTTCTGCTTGGGCTTGAAGAGCCATGCTTGGCATGGTGGAGGGCGAAGGCTGTGGGACAGACCCGCTTTCTCTCCCTCAGCGCAGCCCTGGGGCCTAATGAGTTGTCCGAAGGAAGCAGGTTCCAGCGCGCGTGGCTAAGGGGACGCTCTGATTGGCCAGCTGCGCCTCGCGACCCCCATTCATTAATAAATTAGCGGCACGCTCCAGCCGAGCGCAAGGCACCAATCACACCCCAGAATTGTCCCAGTTGCCAACACACTTTCGGAGGATCAGATAAAAGGAAGGAGGAGGGAGGAGAAAGAGGAGCACGCACACACGCAAACCCTAAAAAGAAAGAAAAGAGATGAGCGATGATAATGAAATGAAAAGGAAAGCTAAACCTGGGGAGGGGGAGAGCCGAGGAGGCCCTGGGGGTACATTTGATTGTTTTCCATGGGGTATATAAGGGGTTTTAAGTAGAGTCGTGTGCCAGACACACAGCCACAGAAACACAAGCAGCTTCGCCTTAACTGGAGGGTCCAGGCGCGTGCCAGCAGCTTTCCACACTGAGCTGCCCTGTTTCTTACACACACGTAGGCCGGCGGCGACGGGCCATAGAAGCAGCCCTTTAGAGACATTTCCTCCCCCCCTCCCCGAACAAGACGCCTTGGACCCACACCAACACCCAGCCACGGTGGGACCTTCTCCAGCAACAGAGAGGGAACGGCGCGGGGCCAAGCTGAACCCTGAAGGTTGCCCCAAGGGGCGGTGCGGAACGAGACAGGAGCAGCCAGCCACGTCTTCGGGCCAAAAAAGGGGGCCGAGCGAAAAACAATTCGGTTACTTCCAAAAGAGCCAAGTAAGTTTCCAATTTTCCCTCTCTTTTCCCCCACTTTTTTGAGGCGAACTTGGTTGGCTGAAAGCTGTTTTCAGAGCTGCAGCCAAAACTCCCGCTTAGCGCTTAGGCGCAACCGCAGTGGCTCTCTCTGCCTCCCCTCCCGGCCGCGGAGTATTGGTAGGAAGGCCAAGGCGCGGCTCGCTCCAAAGGCAACGCAGCGGATTTCTGCAATGCCTTGCCGAGCGGAAGGCTGCAAGCGCCCCTTTGGTTAGTCCATACTCAAGTACATTAAACCTACCAAGCAAACCCGATGCAGCGAAGTGTAGACTACAAAGCTCTTAGGAGCTAGCGGAGTCTAACCCTTAGCTTTGCGTGGACCTGAGCGTCGATGCGCATCGCCGTTACACTGGTTGTCTTTCGATATTCCGCACGTGCACTAAAGACGAGGCCAGGCCTCTCGGGGAGCAGACAGCTTTCCCTCTTTTGTAAGAACGGGCCCATCCACGCCTGGGTGCCTCTTACACGCGACGGGTTTGTCGGAGCGTTCTGAGTGGGGCGGAGGGGTTGTCCCGGCAGGAGCTCCAACCGCCTTTCCTCGAGATGACCGCTTGTCTGCTTTTGTGTTCTTCTTGCAGGATGTTCGGGCAGCCAGAGACCCTGGGAGTGAAGGAGGAAGAGGGGCTCCTTGACACCCAGTCCTTGCCTTCTTCCTCCTCTTCGTCGTCTTCCTCCCCCTCCTCCTCCTCCTCTCTCGTCCCTTTCTCGTCGGGCTCCGAGGGGGAGGACGACGCGGAAGAAGAGCCGCCCCACGTCCTGTCCCCCTCGGGGTCAGCGCCCGAGGTGGCCGTAAAAGCGGCGGAGCACGCGCGCCTGCCCCTCCTCGGCTTAAGACGGCACGACTGTAAGAGACGCTCCGGCCGGGCGCGAAACGCCTCCCGCCTCGCCAAGACGACCGAGACGGTCCAACGGCTGAAGAAGAGCCGCCGCCTGAAGGCCAACAACCGCGAGCGGAACCGGATGCACAATCTGAACGCGGCGCTGGATGCCCTGCGGGAGGTGCTGCCCACCTTCCCGGAGGACGCGAAACTGACCAAGATCGAGACGCTTCGTTTCGCTCACAACTACATTTGGGCGCTCACCGAGACGCTCCGCTTGGCCGACCATTGCGGAGGCGGCGGAGCGGCTGCCGCCGCTGCCGCTGCCGCTGCCGCCTTCTCCGAGGCAGTGCTGGGAAGTATTAGCGGCGGCGGCGGCAGCAGCAGCAGCATTTCTCCAGCCGCCTCCTCGGGTTCCTGGAGCTGCACCACCAGCCCCGCTCCTTCGGCCGCCTCCTCCGCTTACAGCTGTACTTTGTCGCCCTCCAGCCCTGGCAGCTCCGTCTCAGAGTTGGACTTTTGGCAATCGGAAAATCCCGGCTATGTGCTGTCCAGAGATTTAATCTGACGCCCTTTTGCTTCCCACTCGTCCCTTCCCGCGTGGGCCGGAGGGTGGACAGACTGACGTAGCCCACCAGTAGCGGAGGTCCCAGGAGTCGATCCCCGGGGAAGATTAGCCGTTCACCGGAGCGGGCTGGAGCGCCCAGCGAGCAGCGCTTGAGGCTAAAGTATTAAGGTGGAGTGCCTGATCCCTGGGACGCAGATTGCGGTCCTTTGTAGGGCCCTGAACGCTTTGAGTGTCTTCCTGTCCCCAGCACGATCCCTTCGACGTTAGCGGTCTGGCCCTGGTGGCATCTGCTTGTTTCCCACTGCCTGCCTGGCGGCTGTGGGAATTACACCTGTCAAACCAAACTTTCTGTCACTGTGATGTGCACTTTCCCACAATGTCTTTTGTTCTTTTTCTCTCTCTGCCTCCCCCGCTCACGGCGACATAGATACCTCTTATTCCTAGCGCTCCCTCTGCTTTTACCCAGTTGTCTCCTATGATTTATGCGGAGTAAAAAGGAGAGAAAATGAAAAGCAGGAGGGTGGTTTTGTTTATCTGTTGATTTGCTTGTTGAGACTGAGTTGCCATAAAAGGCACTCCATAATTTGTAGGCATTATCCTGATTAAACGCAAGCGTGGAAATTTGGGGGGTGGGGTGAAGAAGGATGGGATGGATGGAGCCCTTATGCAATAAGAGTCTCTTATGCATTATTTATCTCCACCTTTGATTGATGGAAAACGCCATTATTCTTTCAACAGACTAAAAATATAGACAGAAAAACATCGAAGAGATTATAAATTGTAATTAGCAACATACTTTTGCTTTTATTTATTGCAAAGGAAATAAAAACTTTTTTGTAAGACATGGGGGAAGGGAGAAGAGACACAGATATATTTTTGTATATTTTACAGAGTTTATTCTAGTATGTATTTACAGTTGCAGAGCAAGGAGGTGGTTCTTAAACAAACATATATAAATAAAGTATATAATTTTTCATGAGAGACAATGGTGGTTATCTATGGCTTTGCTAATGGACTGAAGATTATTTCTGAGTTGTGACTGATTCAGTAGATGTCCTTTAGCTACACTCTTGGACGTAAATCCTAATGAACACAGAATTTCTCTTTTATTTATGTGCTTTGCTAATAATGCATCATAGATCAGTTCTGAGGTATGCGTTTTTTAGAATCAATGAAATTAATTCCATTATGAATATAACTGCATCCATAAGGGTCTAAAGAAAGTTATAGTTCTTTTGTTTTAAATCAATAATAAATTTTTTGCTTCTTTATTTAAGTAAAGTATACACCTTACAGTGTAGGCAGGGATAAATATAATGACTGATAGAGGTTTTCACCTCCTGATTCAGAAGGAAAAAAACTTTCTAATTTAAAAAACATTCCTTTAATACAGAAGGAACAATACCATGCTGTTTGCAAGAAAATTAGTAGAGTAATTCTTAAACTAATAGTTAAACCATGTCTGCATGAAATAATCTTCAATACTTCCCTTATATTGATGAAGCATCTATTTGTAAACAAAAAATGAAATTTCTCTTTAATCCAAGACTGCAGATGACAGGTTGCCTTGTCTTCCCAACATTGCAAACTGATCTTCTGTGCTGTCCGCCATGCTTGATAAATCCATAATTCTTTATATAGTGATTAGTTCTAAGTTTGTGACATAAAATTAAGAGCCTTAGCCACAATTGGTTAATATGGGATATTCCAATTCCTTAGTCCAGAGTTCTTGTACATAAGTAATATCCAATTTACTAATGCTCCTGGTTTATAAAAGCATGCTATAGACTTAAAAGCAATCAAAACTAAGCCCCATGCTAATAGTAATTCAGGAGCTGTGACAATGCAAATGCACCTGTAAGAATAGCCTGAACCCCAATCCATGACAGATATTTGGTTATGTTTCATGAGAAAGAGGATATTTGGAATAAATCAGTTCTACATCAAAGGAAATACTATAAATGGATTCAGACAAATTCTTCCTTGTTTATTTCAGTGCTGATGCAACACTTTGCTCCAAAGAAAGTTCTAGTAATGTATTAAGACCTACTCCATAATTTAAGAATTGTGTCTTAAGATAACATTGAAATGGATCCTTTAGTTAAGGATCAGGTGGTTACTCCTAGTGAGCTACAATGATACCTGAAAGCAGTTTAAGATGATTCAAAACGTGTTCAAAAGGGTATCACTTTTAATTAGTTTCACTGCACTTTTGTAAAGATGCAATGCTATTTGAAGAGTAAAACACACACACACACATACATACACAATCCTGTAAAAATAGAAGACTGTGGGGTTGGAGGGTGTCATGCAAATATTTTATTATTCATTTGATTTGGAAAGTTGTGACATGCTAAAAATGTAGGTTTCCCTCTTTTTGGATTTGTGGATATACACAAAATCTAAGTTTTTGTCCAGAATTGTTCAGCACTTGATTCTATAAATACAGAGAAATCCACAAAGACACAATCTTTATCATCCTTGAAATACAATCCTATCTATGGCTATTTGGATTCAAGTTTTATTAATGTTCACTTCCAAATAAATGGGTATAGAAAGGTAAGTTCTATAAAAAGCACTAAGTTCCCACAGCAGAGAAATAATGATATTAAGCCTTGTGTTGAACAAAAGTTGCTTTGTTCACATATAACATTGTACCATAAATCATGGCTCATAAACCACAATAATTAGCTTCACATATCACACTATGCTCAAACAACATTATGATTTAATATATGATCCAAGTAACCATGTGTAAAACAATAGGAATTAAAGCATAATAATACATTCTAGGCACACTTACCTGAGATTAAAATCCACAATAATCAATGGAATTTATTTACACATGCTCAATAAACCTCAACATGTTAAATAGGTTTATATCCAAGTAAGAATGCAGATTTTGTAACATGTTGGCGCAATTTTAAAAAGAGGTGGAAAAATCCATTCCATGTTGTTATTGGCTAAAAACAATGATCAAGCCATTTGGTCTTGTGGTGAAGGCATCAGACTAGAAGCCAGGAGACTGTGATAGCTGGATGGGTGACTTTTGGCCAGTCACTCTCTCCATCCCACTTCCCAGGATTGTTGTTGTGAGGAACATTGGAGGAAGAAGGAGTGTGAAGTATGTTTTCCACCTTCAGTTTGTTTATAAAACTAATGAATGTGGGATATCAATAAATAAATTTGAATACAGTGCTTATTTCTTTCCTGGATTTATATCCCATTGGTCAACTAGCCAAGATCATTTCAAAAAACAAAATCTTCAATTTAATTTCAAATACAGTTTAAAACACAACATTTTCCAAATATAAAAGACAATAATTGCTCAGATCAATCATATCAGCCCTTCAGACACAGCCTGCATTTTTAATATCCATTAAACATAATGGAAAAACCAAGGGAAAAAATTTAAAGTTGGGTTGGCATTAAATTGCAAAGTCTGGAGTCCAGGAACAGATATTCTGGGATTAAGTTGAGAACAAAAATGTGGTATTTTGCTTGCTTGTAGTTTAGCATCTGATGTAAACCAATGTCGCAAGCAATGTGGTTTAGTGTTTATGAGTTTGGAGACTTGTGAGGCTAGCAAACCATGATAAGATACTGTAAAGCATCAGCATGATACACAAGACAAGGGCTGGCTGGATGCTTCACAGACAAGTAATTCTCCAGCTGTCTAGTGGGAGCCAGCCAAAATGAAAGAGCAGTATGGACGGGGCAGGGCAGAGAAAGAGCCTATTCCTCTGCCTATTTTCACTCAACTTTATCCATTTGTAATGGGCTGAGTGACAGTCGGCAGACGCACATCATGGGAGCCTTGTCTCAGCACGTGAGATCTGCCTCGGGGAAGCCTACCCCTTGCAGGAGACAGCCAGGGCTATCACCCAGCAGCCATAACTGAGGGGGACCCAAAGGGCAGAAAGAATAAACTCCTTTACTATGAGGAAGTGAGAGTGAGAGTCTTGGAGGCAGTGTACTTGCCTCAGCCAGCCCAGGGTGCCATATATACATGGTTGTGATATTAAATGGGCATGTTGAGTTAAATGGGCATTTTTCTCTTATTTTTCCCTTCTTCTGGTCTACTGAAGCAGAAAACACTGCATATGCATCTGACATCTGAGCAAAGTTTAGAATTATATATTAAATGGAGGTTCTTGTCCAGCAATTGTCTATGGAGATTTTCAATCATCCACATCATGGTTGTCCCAAAAGTGTTTTTCAGTTCAAAGAACTTACACATTTTCAAGGAAAAAACATTTTCAAGAAAAAAAAATCAAGAAAGTCCAGCTGCCTTTTGGAAAAGCACCTTTGGGTTTTCCAGCAATTCTGTGTTCATGCACTGCATTAAGCAATGTATGGTATTTTAATCCAAACTGACTGGGATGGCAGAAGAGAGGAAATCACAAATTAGAAATCAGAATAGCTGAATTTACCCATCACATTACTAAAGCTGTTTCTTCACTAGTGGTTTGCAGAGTCCTCCAGAATGATCCATTCATTGTTGTTCAGATGTAACAATAAAGAAGATTGGCTTTATATTGCCCCATTAATAGTAAAGTCATTGTTTCTTAATCCCACTCTTAATTGATTTCTTTGAGTCACCACTGGGGATGGGCCCCAAAACTAAGCTTGAGATGTGCTCCAATTCTGCATATACTTGGCAATGAAGACTTTTTTCTTGGTATTTTAATATTTGTATTAACTAAAATAATAAATAAAAAAAATAAAAATCTACCTTAGAAAGATTCCAGGTAACTTTATCACCTCACAATACAATAAATGCAAAGTATCTCTAGTCTAGAGAAATTTGATTCCTATTGACTAGGAATCAACTGTTTCCTTCATAAATAAAATGAGAGCCGCTTGTAACCTTCTTCTGGGATTTTTTTTTCCATTTCATATTTTGGGCAAGACAAGAGTAGCCCAGCAATTTGGAGCTGTGTTTTCATTTCATGGGTAACTATTAGGGAATCCCACAGCTGTAAACCAAACAGGAAAGCTGAAATGGCAAAACATGTCTTCTACACTAATATGGCACAACTTCTCACATGTTTAGAAAATTACATACCCCATTAAAATATGCACCAGTCAAACAAAACAGCAATTAAAAAAAAACTTGTAGAAAAGCAGCAGAATCAATTTTGTAAATGGAACTTTTACAAGATTAGAGGTGCTTAAAAATAAAGCTTTTATTTAATTTCAGAACTATGATAAAAGGTTGTCAAAAGATTCTCTTAACGTTATATACTGAGGTACTACCTCCTGTTTATTTTACAAAGCATTATTTCTGTCCCCAAATTAATCCAAATGATACTAATTTATCTATCCACGTCACTTCACAGACTGACTGAAGTTTAAAACCCAATACTTATTTTGGCACACTTGAATTTATTCTGCTATTTCTATCAAGGGCTGGATCCACACTTTTCTATTTCTTTTCTCAGTCTTCTGATAAAACTGTGGCTGCTTATGCATTATGGACAAGACCAAGAATATAAAAAAATATTATGGGGAAATAAAAAGGTATCATCCTGTTGAAAGAAGGGGGATGGGAGCTTCAAACTAAAGAGATCCAGAATCAGGAGAGAAAGGAGAAAAAAAAGTTAAGATACTAGTTTTCTGCTGGAAAATGCAATATTTGTTCAAAATCAATATTCTAATTGTTATTTTGATCATAAGTATTGAACAGAAAGTTTTGTGGTATAATTGTGACTTCATTTATTAAAACGTGCGGTAATTCTTCCAACATTTAAGCATATGCAGTTTGTGATCTATCTCTGTTTCCATTTATTTTTAATTCTTTTAAAGTAGTTGATTTCTGTCTAGAATTGTAATTAGCTACACTTCTTCCACAAAGGCAGTCCTCCTTTCTTATGAAAACCTGAGAGTAAACTTACCTACTCCTTGGTTCTTTCATTATTAAACCTAATGCAAGTAGTTCTCAACTTACGATTACAATCAGGACCAGAATTT